TCTTGACTGGTTACACCAAGCATTTGCCCCCAATGTGAAAGATTACCTAACTGAAAAGAAATTAGACCTTAAGTGCCTCCTGGTGTTAGACAATGCCCCTGGTCATCCTACGACGTGGCAGAGCGACATTATGGGGACATGAGCTTCATTAAGGTGAAATTTTTGCCTCCTAATACCCCTCCTCTCCTGCAGCCCATGGACCAGCAGGTTTTTGCAAACTTCAAAAAACTGTACACAAAGCTCTGTTTGAAAGGTGCTTTTTAGTGACCTCAGAAAAATCAATTGACTCTAAGAGAAATTTTGGAGAGAGCACTTTAATATCCTCAATTGTGTAAACCTTTAGGTAAGGGTTGGGAGGGAGTGACTAAGAGGACCTTGAATGCTGCTTGGAAGAAACTGTGGCCAGAATGTGTAGACCAAAGGGATTTTGAAAGGTTTTAGGCTAAACCCCGGAAATCTATGCCAGTTGAGGAATCCATTGTGGCACTGGGAAAGTCCTTGGGGTGGAGGTTAGTGGGGATGATGTGGAAGAGTTGGTGGAGGAGGACAGTGAGACAACCACTGATGAGCTGCTAGATCAACTTTAACAGCAAGAGGCCCGACCCGAGGAAACTGGTTCGGAGGAGGGGGAGAGAAATTGAAGAAGTTGCCTACTTTAAAGATTAAGGAAATTGTGTGGAATGTGGCTTTAAAATGCAAACCTTTTTTGATAAATCCCCCCTAACACAGCTTTCAAGCCGTGCTGGTGTTTACACTGGGGTTTTTTTGTGAAACACTTTGGGAAAAAGTCATAAAGGAACGAGAGGTACAGCCACTATGGACAGATATGTTGTGCGCAGAAGTCCAGTGCTCTGAAGCTGGTCCTTGGGATTAAAAGAAGAAGGGAAGTAAACCCCAGAAAATGACTTGACCCTCAAGTCTTAATGGAAGGGGGTTCCCCTTCTAAAAACTAAGACTTTCCTCCTCCCTCCCATCAATCATCACCGACTTAATAAAGGGAAGGGGTCATGTAACTGTGATCCTTTTTTTTTTTTTTTTTGTGTGTATTAAAATTAATATTTAAAGTGGTTTTTTTTTTTTTTTTTTTTTTTTTTTTTAATTTTTTTTTTATTTTTATGGGAAAAATTATTTTTAAAAAATTTTTTTATAACCCTGAGTTTCGGGGCGGGATTAATATCTTTTCGGGGTTCTTTTTGTTACTGTTTTATTGGGGTCAGGGGTTTATTGTTTATTTTAGGCAAAATTGTTTTTTTTTTCAGTTTGTGGGTGCCCAGAACTGAGAGGTGTTTTTTCCCGGTCTTTTTTATATTCCTTTGTTCAGTGAATCGCTGGGTATAAACTGTTTTTTGGGTTTTTTTTTTACTTTGGTGAGAACTGTGAATTTTTTTAAGTTCTTTTGTATTAAACCGTCTATATTGTTTTCATACTGGGTTTTTCTTATCAAGGGGATTTCAGGATGTGCGGTTTAGCCAGGGAAACTGAGGTTTATTTTTGACTGTTTTTCGTTTTTTTAGGACAATGTTTTTTGTATAGTCTAAGATTTTTTTAAAAAAAAAAAGGTCTGTCCAGTTGTCAATTTTCCATTGGCCCTTGGGGAATTCTGTAGGGGAGTCAACAGCTCGGTCTGCATTTAAAAATTTTTTATTTTGGGCCTCGTCATGATTATTGATTTAAAATTTTGCACTGAATTGGGTGTTTTTTTGTGCCCCCTATCCTCCGTGGACGGTAGCGCATGAGCTTTGGATCCCCAAAAGGCCCAGGAACAGACCCCAAAGGGGAACAGGGGGACATATGGGTTTATTCTACATTCTTTTTTTTTTTTTTACGACTGGCCGTTTTTGCCAAGGGAGGGTGGCCCGAAAAAAAAGCTTCACCATCATTCACTCCATCCTGTCTTGCCCGAAGGGGCTTTACACTCACTTTAAACTGCAAAAATTAACACCCCTCCTTCAGAGTGCAGGCCGTATTCCCCTTCCAGGACTAAGTCCCGGCCGCCCGTTTCCCGAATCCTTCATAAATGTTACTTTCTCCACTCCAACAGCCGTCAAGCTTTTAAAAAACCCTTTGTCTCCATTCACTCCCATCAAAACATGTCAAGCAAAGCTGCTGGAAGCCAAGCCCCCCGCACACAAAACCTCCTTTTCCCCCTCCCCCAAACCCCTTTCCCAGGTGCCCCTCCCCCCCCTCCACTACAGACAACACTCTTTAAGCATTCTCTTTTGCTCCATTTCTCTACCCTGTCCAACCACCCTAAAACCCTTCCCCAGCCCTTGGACAACAGTTTTGGTAATCCGCACCTCCTCCTAACTTCCAAACTACAAAATTCTCGCATTTATTCACCCACACATTGCCCCCAGACTGACATTTTCCACGCCCCCAGCCTTTCCTTGCTGCCCCTTATCACCCATGCTTCACACCCATTAAGAGCGTTGGTAAAAAAACCCTCTTCATACTTTTTCCCCCTTTTTCCCCCAAAGGGCAAAGCCGTTTTCCCCGACTCCTAAGTGCACCGTCACCCTTTTCCCCCCCCAATTCTTGATTCACCTCTCTTTCATGCCCCTCCGTGCACGTCCCCTCCCAAAAGCTGAATACATTCACCTTCCATACTCCTCCCCACAATCTGAATCCAACTTTCATCACCTAATCTTTTTGTTTTCCTCATAACCTTACTTTTCCTGTATTCATTTTTAAATTTTTTCTTCTTTGCATACCCTTCCAAATTCATCCACCAACCTCTCCAATTCTCTTCAGAATCTCCCAAGAGCACAGTGTCATCAGAAAAGAGCAACTGTGACAACTCCCTCTTTAGTGATTCTTTATCTTTTAACTCCACGCCTCTTGCCAAGACCTCTCATTTACTTCTCTTGCAATCCCATCTATAAGTATATTAAACAACCACGGTGACATCACACATCCTTGTCTAAGGCCTACTTTTACTGGGAAATAATCTCCCTCTTTCCTACATACTCTAACTTGAGCCTCACTATCCTCGTAAAAACTCTTCACTGCTTCAGTAACCTACCTCCTACCCATACACCTGCAACATCTGCCACATTGCCCCTATCCACCCTGTCATACGCCTTTTCCAATCCATAAATGCCACAAAAACCTCTTTAGCCTTATCTAAATTATGTTCACTTATATGTTTCACTGTAAACCCCTGGTCCACACACCCCCTACCTTTCCTAAAGCCTCCTTGTTCATCTGCTATCCTATTCTCTGTCTTACTCTTAATTCTTTCAATAATAACTCTACCATACACTTTACCAGGTATACTCAACAGACTTACCCCCCCTATAATTTTTGCACTCTCTTTTGCACCCTTTGCCTTTATAAAAAGGGAAAATATGCTTTGCTCTCCCAATCCCTAGGTACCTTACCCTCTTCCATACATTTATTAAAAAATTTGCACCAACCACCCCAAAACTGTATCCCCACCTGCTTTTAACATTTCTATTTTTATCCCATCAATCCTGGCTGCCTTACCCCCTTTCATTTTACCTACTGCCTCATGAACTTCCCCACACTCACAACTGGCTTTTTCCTCACTCCTACAAGATGTTATTCCCTTGCCCTATACACAAAATTCACAGCTTCCCTATCTAACCCCCATTTAATCCTTAAAAAGGTTCCAAACGTTATATACGTTTTTCAACATCTGAAAGTATGTAAAAAATATAGATCTTTTTTGTTTTACATTTGAAAACGTGTAAAAAAACTTTTATCTACATTTTTTTTTTTGTTATATTTGAAAATATGTAAAAAAAAGTAGATCTACTTTTGTAGCACTACGAATTTGAACGTTGATCTGTTTGGACCGTTTAAGGGTTAATAACTCTCCTCTCCTATTTTTAACTGACAAGTCCATTTGTTCTCTAGGCTTCCTTAACTTGTTAATCTCACTCCAAAACTTTTTCTTATTTTCAACAAAATTTTTTGATAACATCTCACCCACTCTCTCATTTGCTCTACATATCTATAGTTCACTTATCTGTTACAAGGAAATTTAGGAAATTTGCTTAGTATGTCTGGTATCTTATTTTCATTAATAAGATATCTTGACATGTCACATAGGTTATTATATTGTCTATCTCTGTATTCCTCAATAAGTGGACAATTAAGCACATAGTGTTCAAGAGAGTGACCATATGCCTGATCACATAATTTACATTTAGTTTGATCATCATCTGTGTGTCTCCCAAACTGCCAGAAGTACAGTGGACCCCCGGTTTACGATATTATTTCATTCCAGAACTATGTTCAGGTGCCATTACTGAACGAATTTGTTCCCATAAGGAATATTGTGAATTAGATTAGTCCATTTCAGACCCCCAAACATACACGTACAAAAACACTTACATAAATACACTTACATAATTGGTCGCATTGGGAGCTGATCGTAAACCGGGGGTCCACTGTACTTGTGACCAAGCTTAAGCCTGGCCACTACAACATCAGTCAGTCTGTTCGCATTGCAAGTTGCTCCATAAACATGCTTATCTACGTTCATGTTATCATAGTGGGTTATAGATCTACTCAGGCTTCTAATTGCATTCCTATAACAATTATTTTCATTATTTACTTCTCTAATATTATTCCTAGTGCTAGACACAGTTATACCAAAATTATATTCTACATTCTCCTTCTGGGTACTCTTCTTGGCTAACTTATCAACTTTATCATGAAGGAGTAATCCTGTGTGTGATGGGATCCATAGCAATTGTACATTAATTCCTTTGTCCCTGATTTTTGAGTATCTATACCTGGCTTCTCCAATGAGCATGTTGTTGGAGTCATTATATGAGTTAAGAGCATTCAGTGATGACATAGAATCAGTAATGATGATAGAGTCAAGCTCAGTGTCATAGGTTAGCTTTAGCGCCATTACGATTGTAAACAATTCAGTTTGCAGTGTAAACGCCCAGTTGTTAATTCTTATGCCTAACTCGACAAATTTATTATCGTTCTTAACTAGGGAGGTGGCAACAAGAGCAGATGCAGCCGTGCCAGAAGACTCCTGTTTAGATCCATCAGTGTATATAACTTGTGATAACTTATTACTACTAGCTATGCGAGAAATTTCTTCTTGAGCAGTTGCTTTAACAAGTGATTTAAGGAAGAGATTACTAGTAATGAGCTTCATGGGAGGGACTTGCAGGTATGTGATATTAAATGAACACATCTTTAATGGAGGGGTGAAATGCTCTTGTTGCCTACAGTGATACAGTTCATGCAGGTTATAAAACTTAAAGCAGTTGCACGTTTTCACAATCCATTTAGATCTGTGTGTATTTACCTATAGACACTTGATAAGATTCATTGTGACAGAGTCTGGTTCATTTCTCAACATTCTAATAGTGTTAATCTCAACAATCCTATCACTGATACTAGAAATACCAAGCTCCTTCCTCATATTAAGAACCTTTGTAGATTTGGGACACAAAAGAATAATTCTGAGAGCTTCATTTTCCATTAACCCTTTCAGGGTTGGTGCTGTACTAGCATGTCATACTCGCCAGGGTTTGTGCCGTACTAATACGCATAAATTCTAGAGCCTTCAAATCTAGCGAGAGAAAGCTGGTAGGCCTACATATGAAAGAATGGGTCTATGTGGTCAGTGTGCGCAGTATAAAAAAAAATCCTTCAGCACACTGCATAATGAGAAAAAAAAACTCCGACCCTGTTTTTGGGTTAAAACAGCGACTTTGCAGTGTATTTTCGTATGCTACTTATGGTTGTAGTCTAGTTTTCCTGGTCTCATTTTATAGAATGGAAGACATATTATGGAAATTGAGATGATTTTTATTGGTTTCACAATGAAAAGTACCTTGAAATTGAGCTCAAAGTAGCAGAAATGTTCGATTTTTTGCCAAAGTTCAAAGGTAAACAAAGCATGCCACGCATCCCATACACGACACCTGGTGAGTCTAATATTCTTTCATAAGTGTGCTGATATTATTTATACCATTTCTACACGAATGCAGTAGTCTGCATGACATAAATCTTCTATTCTTTGTGAGAATAAAAATTCAAAGTGGAAAGCAAAAGAAATGTAGCAGAGGCCTGGGGATGTGAGTAATGAACAGAGGAAATTTTATTTTAGTGCCAGGAATGTCTGTCTTGTTTATTCTGGACCCTATGTGGAAATTGGCATCTTTTGAATCTTGTGTGAAATTGGCAAAATTGCCAATTTCTGGCCACATTATTGGTTAGTTGAAATCGGTAAATGGGTGGTTTCTTGTACTCATTCGATAGACAAAATGGAGTTCTAGCGAAATAGGTATGATTTTTGTTGACTGGTACATTGGAATTGACCAATAATAGGGCTCAAAGTGGGCGAAATTGCCGATGCATAAACATTGTTGAGACCACTAACTTCGCGAGAACGTAAGTCCGTAAGTTTTCCATCAAATTTTGTGCTTTTGGTGTCATTATGATTCGGATAAGATTCTCCATCATTTCATGAGAAATTTTTTTTATTTTTTTTGAAAAATTCTGACCCTGAGAACAAGTTTAGGAGAGGGCCTGCTGACCCTGAAAGGGTTAATTAACTCCAAGGGTCGGAGAGAACTTTCTCTAGCTAATATCAACATGGGAGCAGCATAATCAGTTAAGGACCTAACATAGGCTATGTACATCATTCTCATGATTCTCACATTGGCACCATAGTTGGGGTTGTAGCCAGCAACGGCTTTGAGAGCATTTAGCCTATCTTTGCATTTCTTATTTAGTTGTGGTATAGTGGATTTGTTAAAGGGTACATCTACACCAAGATATCTGTAAGTTTTAATGTAGCTGATGATTTCACCCTGCAGATAGATGGGTGGGGGATGTCGTTTGCTTGTTAATATCTTTGTTTTAGAGGAAAATATTATGAGGCCTAGTCGATTACAAATTGCTTGAACTTCATTAAGAATGATGCTCATCTTCTTATGCCCTGTTGTATGGATCATGATATCATCAGCATAGCTTAAAGCTTTATGTTTAGGTGAGGCAGGTAGAGCATTTAGGATAGCAGTAATCAGAATATTAAATAGCATGGGACTAAGAACTCCTCCCTGCGGTGTACCCATGGACATTTCTTTAGACTCACTTTTAAAGCCTTGGTAAAGGACAGAGGATACTCTATTTGACAGGTATCCTATTATCCAGCAGAGTAAGCTATCACCAGTATTCATTTTGGCTAGTTCATGTAGTATAACGGTTCTGTTCGCAATATCAAATGCAGATTTTTGATCAAGAAAGGTGGTAAAACTAATAGAGGTGTGTGCAGTGAGAAAGGTGGAAATACAGTTCTGCACACTTTTACCTTTCATGAACCCATAGAGGTAGGGGGAAAGTTGGTGTCTGATTCTGTAGTACAGTCTGTTAAGTATCATTCTTTCAAAAGTTTTACAAAGACAACTAGTTAAGGAGATCGGTCTAAATGTATCAGGCTGTTGGGGCCTAGGGATAGGCACAATGAGACTATTGGTCCAGGAAGTAGGAAGAACGCCCTCAATGTAACCGAGATTATACAGTGCCAACAATGGGTTATCAGGCACATCATGCCTTTGAGTTCTGAGAATATCATAGGTTATACCATCCTCTCCAGGAGCAGTTGATCGACTTTTAGTTAATGCATTATCTAATTCATACTCAGTGAAGAGGCAATCACTCTCATCAATATTTTGGCTCATAAAATTAATCAGTTTCAACATTTCTTCAGAAGCACTCTCAATTTTTTTTCTAATATGAAATGGAAGGTTTTCATGCCTGGATGTTTTGGACCAGTCATTTATGAGGTCATTTGCTTTTTCAAGAGGAAAGGGATGAGCAATATTGCCAGTCTTTTTCCTGGTTATTTTATTTTACCTTTCCAAGCCAAACTTAAAGGGGTGGACCTATTTAATCCACTAACAAATTGTTCCCATTCCTGTTGCCTAAGTTCATGCTTTCTATTCCTTGCATTTGTTAGTGCAGCTTGGAATGTTCTAAGCAGGTCTGGGGTTCTACATTCACGGTATGCTTTACCAATCCTCCTAGCTGCATGTGTTAGGTTGCGTAGCTCTGGATCATTATAGTATTTACATTGGTTTTTATTGTTATTTATAGTGGAGGGTCTATGTTTTCTTTTCCTGTCCACTTGGTCTGTGAGGACAGTCTCAATAGTGGCAACTAAATTATCATTCAATTTTTGTGTGCCAATGGGCTTGTAATTCTTATACCATTGATCCAAGTGGTTAATAAAGTTATCTCTGTGTTCTTGGTTGAGAATAAGTTTCCTCCTTCTGAATTTAGCTTCTTGATTGATGGAGATGTGATCAAGATTGACAGTTGTGAGTCTTGGGAAGTGATCAGATAGAAGATCATGTGTCAACTATGACCGAGTCATGCATCGTATATGATGTATTAAATCCAAGGCACAGATCTAGTGTGCCACCATATACTATGTGAGTAGGCTCAGTAGTGCCCACAATTCGAACATTATCGTGCTCATTTAGCAGTTTCATTAGTTTAGTTCCATTGGTGTTTGTTATAGACCCACCAATATTGTTATGTCTGGCATTAAAATCTCCAAGAATGAGGGTAGGTTCACTATTGATGCGATCTGGTAAAGCATCAGGTCGAAGCTGGTTCGCTGGTGCATAGAGTTTTAAAATGTTTTTGGAAAAATCGCCTGCATATACTTTGACACCATGATACTGCATGTTAACTCGACTCTGCAAGGAAATGAGTGAATGTGGCAAGATCTTTCTGACATACATCACACAACAGTTGGTTGTCCTTAGGTTATAAGCTGCATATCCAGTCAGCTTTGGTGGAGGTGCTCCATCTTAAAGTCTACATTCCTGCAAACAGATGACATCAATATTCTTTGTTGCACTAATATGATGTAAGTCAGGCAACCGCTTCCTCATGGAAGCAGTGTTCCATGAAAAGATTTGTAATGTATCCATTGTAGTGAGTTATTACAATCTCTTGCTCATAAGATGGTAAAACTATTATGCTTTGGCTACAGTGTGCAGGCACTTAAGAGCAAATAGCATAGTTTGTACGTCTTTATCTTCAGGACCTTTATTTTTAAGCATTTTTCGGCATCTTGGCAGCCAGTTCCAAGGCAAGTCTTGAAGCCAAGAGTCACGGGCTTCTTTTTTACAAATTGCTGCCCGTGACTCTTGGCTTCAAGACTTGCCTTGGAACTGGCTGCCAAGATGCCGAAAAATGCTTAAAAATGAAGGTCCTGAAGATAAACACGCACAAGCTATGCTATTTTCTTTTAAGTGCCTGCACACTGTAGCCAAAGCATAATAGTCTTTCCATTAGTTGATTGACTCACAATGATGGTTAGTTGTGTGACTGTTGCTATTATGGTTAGTTGAGTGACTATTGAGGTGATGGTTAGTTGAGTGATTCACAATAATGGTTAGTTGAGTGATTCACAATAATGGTTAGTTGAGTGACTGTTGCTATAATGGTCAGTTGAGTGGCTGTTGCAATGATGGTTAGTTGAATGACTCACAATGATGGTTAGTTGTGTGTTAGTTGAGTGACTCGCGATGATGGTTAGTTGAGTGGCTGTTGCAACGATGGTTAGTTGAGTGACTTACAATGATGGTTAGTTGAGTGACTCACAATGATTGTTAGTTGTGTGATTTACAGTGATGGTTAGTTGAGTAACTGTTGTGATGATAATTAGTTGAGTGACTTACAGTGATGATTAGTTGAGTGACTGTTACTATGATGGTTAATTGAGTGACTGTTGCAGTAATGGTTAGTTGAGTGACTTACAGTGATAATTGAGTGACTGTTACAATGACAATTAATTGACTTTTAAAATGATGCTTGAGTAACTGTTACAATGACAGTTGAGTGACTGTTACAATTTGAGTGACTGTTACAATGACAGTTGATTGACTGTTACAAAGACAATTGAGTGACTTTTACAATGACAGTTGAGTGACTGTTACAATTTGAGTGACTGTTACAATTTGAGTGACTGTTACAATGACTGTTGAGTGACTGTTACAGTGACAGTTAATTGAATGACTATTACAATGACAGTTGAATGACTGTTACAGTTACGAGTTAGTTTAATGACTTACAGCGACAGTTGAGTGACTTACAATGATAGTTAATTGATATTTTCCTGATAATCTCTATGATGCTAGAGTGGTT